GCATCTCAGTGTTTACCTGTTTGATGGATGCATCTAAGGAGCATCTCAGTGTCTACCTGTTTGATGGATGCATCTAAGGAGCATCTCAGTGTCTACCTGTTTGATGGATGCATCTAAGGAGCATCTCAGTGTCTACCTGTTTGATGGATGCATCTAAGGAGCATTTCAGTGTCTACCTGTTTGATGGATGCATCTAAGGAGCATCTCAGTGTCTACCTGTTTGATGGATGCATCTAAGGAGCATCTCAGTGTCTACATGTTTGATGGATGCATCTAAGGAGCATCTCAGTGTCTACCTGTTTGATGGATATATCTAAGGAGCATCTCAGTGTCTACCTGTTTGATGGATGCATCTAAGGAACATCTCAGTGTCTACCTGTTTGATGGATGCATCTAAGGAGCATCTCAGTGTCTACCTGTTTGATGGATGCATCTAAGGAGCATCTCAGTGTCTACCTGTTTGATGGATGCATCTAAGGAGCATCTCAGTGTCTACCTGTTTGATGGATGCATCTAAGGAGCATCTCAGTGTCTACCTGTTTGATGGATGCATCTAAGGAGCATCTCAGTGTCTACCTGTTTGATGGATGCATCTAAGGAGCATCTCAGTGTCTACCTGTTTGATGGATGCATCTAAGGAGCATTTCAGTGTCTACCTGTTTGATGGATGCATCTAAGGAGCATTTCAGTGTCTACCTGTTTGATGGATGCATCTAAGGAGCATTTCAGTGTCTACCTGTTTGATGGATGCATCTAAGGAGCATCTCAGTGTCTACCTGTTTGATGGATGCATCTAAGGAGTATTCGTTGGCATCTTTCTTTGTCTCACAGAACAAGATGGTTTTGCCATGGGTGCCGCTGTAAACCTGGATCACATCACCGATCACGGCTGCTCGCTGAGACCAGTGGCACGCTATGGCCAGATGCTACAGAGGAAAGGACACGGGAAGAAAAAAGGAGTGAAAGAAGGGAGGAAGAAGAGATAAATATAAATCATATTTGTTGAGTTGATAAGAAATACAGCAATCTTATCTGCAAATTAACTTTCATGGATAAAAAGATAATTAACAGTTTTAATTAATATGACCATCTCTGCTTACAAGCATCTTTACAAGAACTGAGACTAAGAATTAAGGATGCTTTACCGCTTGCTATATTGCACCTCAGCCTGCTTCACACACTTACCTCTACAGTTGTGGCGGCTTTCTGTGTGCTCTTGCCGATCAGATCCACATGTTTGCATTCTGGTCTCATGTATTTCTTGGCAACCTGGTATACCCAGGCGGGGCAGGTGGCCGAAAAGAGAAGAGTCTGGGGGTTGGAGGGGGAGTCTGGAGAGGAGCACACACACACTCAGGTTTTTATTAACTTTACATACATGACCACACTTTAATGAATTTGTTATCTACTTTAACATATATGATACACAAATCAAAATTGTTACACTCCTTATACACAAGGGCTGAATAATGAATAAGGCTTTTAATAGAAATTACAGTATAGACGAATGCAAAAACCAAATTGCAGGATCTTATAAAGATTTGAAAAATCATAACTAAATGTTGTGAAAATAATATCTTGCAAAATAATTGTAATGTATTTTTTCCTTATCTTTGAGGCCTATATGAATACATGAATATTACATGAATATTAACACTCATTGAAAAACATTCACAGATTTACTTTACCTTTCTCATATGATGAAGACAAAATTTCTTCAACCTGTTCAGTAAAACCCATGTCCAACATCTGGTCCACTTCATCGAGAACAACGTGTTTCAGTTTGGAGAGGTCCAGTTTTTGGTTCTGGAGATGGTCTTTGATGCGACCAGGGGTGCCAATCAAAATATCGATACCATTACGTATTGCTTCAACTAGACGGGAAGAGAGTAGAGGAGAAATTATTATTTTGATATGTGACAACCCAGAAACCTCCCTAAAACAAACAAGGAGATGAGCTGCTGTTTACAAGGCACAGTTGGCCATTTTCCATCAAATAAAAATGAAACGCCAAAAGTTCTTTATAACATTAAAACATAAAGAAAATGTATAGTTGATTTAATGTTTTTGACTGTCGGTTTTCCGAATTAATTCGTTTATGAACAAGACTTACTCTGTGGATTGTACGAGCTGCCTCCATAGAAACAGGTGAGAGAAAGTCTCTTGGTGACGTCTTTGAAGTCCTTAGCAACCTGGATAGCGAGCTCTCTGGTTGGAGTTAACACCAGGACCTACAGAGTGACAAAAAAAGAGTTTCAGTTATAGACAACACACATGAAATAGCATTGGTTGAGGTGTTTAGTGATGGGTGTACTAGTGTTTGTACCTTGGGAGCCCGGCCTCTGGCAGAATCCACTGGGTCTCTCTGGAGCTTCTCCACCAAAGGGACGGCAAACGAGAAAGTCTTTCCTGTTCCTGTTCGGGCTTGGGCAATTACGTCCTCTCCATCAAAGACAGAATTAAATGTTTTTGATTGAATGTCAAACAGGTAGGTGACACCCCGAGCTGAGGAAAGGATAGAAAGAGGTCACAGAGGGAGAAAAGCAGGAGACATGTTAATTTGATATTTTAGCACAATTTAAACAATCCCAGCCGCTCCAAAGCTCAGTTTGCACAACAAAGTACATGAAAAGAGCTGTGTCTAACACGAGTTAAAGCATTTGAAAATGGTGACCACCAAATGTTGAATGAAAATCTTATTCTTTTGAATGAACATCCCTTTAAAAGAAAAAAAAGGGTATCTAATTAAGATAGTTGCAACTCAATAGATATAATTGGGGTACATGGAGGTTAGAACAGGAGGACAAATGTTTGCTGTGTTTTATAAAACTGGTATTTATTTTGAAAATTGTTTAGACAAAATTAAAATACTATAAAAAAGGTGCAGTTTTTTGGCAGAGCAATAAGCATGAAGGATTTTGGAAAAGTACCAGTACACTCGGGAATAAAAATGTAAATACGTTATTTACCTTTTAGTTTATCAATGGTCACTTGGGAGATCCTGAAGTTGGAGAAGGCGCCTGCCTTCTGCTGCGGTGTCAACCCCTGGACAGATACACAAGTTAATCCATACATTCAATTTAATAAATCATGTTTCAATTTATTTGTGGGTCTTTTAAATGCTTTAACACATGCCAAGTAGTGAAAGGCAGCATGTTTTAAAATCCACCAATATAATATTACCGAACTAACCAACAGAACTCAAGCTTTTACGCTTTATCATAAATACAACGTGGCAGAGTTATCACACAGTAACGATACAAACTTCCATCGTCTACTGGGAGGAGGCTAGTCATACCGTGTCTTTCTCGCCGTCGCTGGCTGAGTCGTCGCTGGAATGGGCCGGTGTCGGGATGGGCGTCTGGACGGGGGTGTTGGGGGAGGAATGTCCGTTGGTTACTGCCTCTGCTTTCTTATGCTTCTTTTCTTTTTTCTAAACCCAGAGATAAACATGAAAAAAAATGTTTTATAAAGAGGGGCAGGGTATTATCTTTGTAAACTTTTCCATGAGAGTTAATCCAAGGTGCCTCAACAAATAAGTGGATATTTAACAGTTTGCTGTCCATTTATTTAAACTCTTTTTGGTTTAGAAACATAAATATAACTGCACATTTAAATCAAACAGCACTGACCTCTGTGATTTCTTCAGGTGTTTTTTTTTTCTTAATCTTTTTTGGTGTTTCAACATCATCACAGATGCCGTTCATTCCTGTGTCTTCAACTACGTGTCCGATCGATTGGTCCAACTTGTCTTTTTTCTTTTTCTTTTTTGGTGCTGGAGGTTCACAGTCGAGGTCCTCCTGCTCTTCCTGGTCCTCCAACTGCTTCTTCTTCAGCTTCTTGCCCTCTTTGGTCTTCTTTTATTATAAACAGAAACAATAGAAGATAAATAGGTTTCAGTTAAAACAAATTCACTGCCTTATATGAACTCAAGGACAGAAATAGTTTGTTTCAAATCTCTTTGCCATTTTCTCATCCTATTGCAATGTTGCTGATAAACAACTTCTGATTGTGGGTATGTAAGGTATAATTATCAATGGGCAGATAATATCAAAGCTCCAACGCTTGTTTCACTCCTCTGAAGTGCACTTTCAGTACATTTTGTGGGAGCTAGACTCAAATAAAGAGTACAATGAGGCATCCACACAGAATGTATTGTACACAATGTAAAGTGAGCAAAGCTGTCAACTTCCCTTGTTGTTTTTAAATAAATAACAGTAACGCAATATCCATTACTTACCATTTCCACTCCTTAAAACAATAATGACTGAAATAGTTATACGGGCTAACTCAAATTATAATACCTCAATTACTTTGAGGCCAGACTACAATAAAGAGTCAGTTTAAGGTGCAATTGTTTTTTGTTTTAATTAAAACATGTAAGCATTATACATAGCCTGTAGTTATAAAACAAATAATCATTAGTAGCAGCGATCATTAACTTGAATATATAGTTGTACAGTTGTGGGCAAGTTGTTTTGTAAGCTTAACAGCTGACGAGCCCAGCTGAATATTACGTCATCATGTGGCGCCAACAGCGCAGATACACAAACAGATGTGCTCAGTGTGTTTAAGGCCTACACGTTGTCCTTAAATACATCCACGTGATATATAGATCATTGCAGAAACACATGGGCTTGCCATGTGATCTTATAGCTAGGCTAAGGAAGCGTCCCATGTTAAGATGAAGCAGTGGATTACATTAAGTTTATAAAATCACACCGCAGTGGTTTGTTTATAACATGTGGATGCTAGTGATGCTACTTAAACTGATCTGAACGTCGGTTTGCGAACAGCTAGCTAGCCTATGCTAGCACGTTGAGCCACATGTTGTCAACATGGAGCGCCGGGAGAAGAAGTCGCACGAGCTACGTGGATATTTAAGTCTGTCCGTGGCGACAGGGCACGCGCTGCTCACCTTGATGGGTTTAGCCTCCGCGACAGTGTCCACGTCGTCCTCCATGACTTGATCTTCACTCTCAAAGATGATTTTTGTCGGCATTTCTCTTTCTGATGGACCGGCTCAGCGTGGACACACAGGCTAACCCTCGGGCTTGCGGATGGAAAGGAACGCGCAAGGCCGGGCGCGCGCTTGCGAGGAAGTGTGTTCACGAGCCTGACATAGAAATAGAAGGAATAGATATGCACCAGAAGCAAGAATATTACCGGTAATCAGCTGTGGAAGAAGTATTCATATGCCTAACTTGAGAACGAGTACCAATACATTACTAAAATACTTAATTAGCAAGTACAAATCCTGCATTCAAAAGTATTACCAGCTAAATGTAATTAAAGTATATAAATGAAATGTAATCAATGTGCAGAAAAAAATCCTTTATGTGTGTATATAATTATATTTATACCATATACATGTGACATTTCTGGATACAATTGTTGCACCAAGTAGCGTTTTATTGTTGTAGACAAACAAAGTTTTTATTGCTTTGTTATAAAATATTTAATTATTTTGATTATTTTGTGACTTATAGAGTTATTCCCATATTCACTGTTTAATTTTTGGAGAAGCATTTTTGTTAAAAGTTGTTAAAACAAATGTCGCAGAGTAAAATTACTTTATTTCCCTTTAGGGAATTTAGTGGGGTAGGAATAGAAAGTAGCATAGCAGGAAAATACTCAAGTAAAAATAAAACATCCGAAATAAAAAACCTTTTTTTTACATTTTTTTATTTTTTATTTGTTTGGCTCATGATAGGCCCCCGATCTCCGTAGGCCCCTGGGCTTCAGCCCGTGCATTTTAAAAGGCGGCCCTGCCTCCAAGTCCGTTTGGTTCTTTCTTCGATATAATAGACATCGTTTCTTGCACAACCTTTTTAAAGTTCTAATACTGATGTGCCAAAAGATTAAGTATTTCGTTATTTGAGAAACCTAAACTAATGTACTGCTTCACAAGATGCTCCACATCCCTCATTTTATTGCAGGACGTTGCTGTTGTCTCCTTCTCAAGTCACTTATGAAACTACGACTTTAATCTCGTAATTATGACTTTATTCTCGTAACATTACGACTTTATTCTCGTAATATTACGACTTTATTCTCGTAATATTACGACTTTATTCTCGTAACTATGACTTTATTCTCGTATTATTACGATTTTATTCTCGAAATCTCGCTGTTTTTGTTGTCTTTGTTGCACAATTATGTACTTTTTTACAAAATATTTGTTCCTATTTATTTAAAAAAATACTGAACTGCTCTTTTCAATTTTAAAACAGATATATATATATATTTAAAATTCTTTAAGGGCAAAAATATATAATATATTTTTTTTTATCATTTACCATAATACAAAACAATATCAGTCAAAAAACACACTCTAAACAACATGTCATCAATTAATTCAGGAGTTTGTAATCCTTTATCTATAAATATAGTTTCAACTTAAATTGTGTATTGAACTTCTTAACCCTCTACACTCTAAAAAATGCTGGGTTATTTCTATAAACACATTGCTGGGTTGATTTGGCTGGGTCATAATTATGGGTTATTTGGGTACTGTAAACACACTGGTGGGTTGTTCATGCTGGGTCAAAGGGGTTATTAGGGCTTCAATTGCAGTTGAACACCTGCCTGGGTTATTTTTAACCCAGAGGTTGCTTTATTCATTTTCCCACTTCTGAATCATTCTGGAACCATCTTTTTGTCATTTCTCACAACACAAGGTATGTAACCTATATTTTACCTATATTTATATAATTATACAATTCTGTAACTTGTTGAATCACTAGTAACTAAGTGATTTTGAAAAACCACTACAACCACAACAGTGATTTTGCAAAACCACTAATCAGCCAGTGATTTCACAGAATCACCAGTGTTCTTGCACACTGTGTAAGACCGAACATTACAAGCTTCTGAAAGAAAATGGGTTGTTTTAACTCAAACATTTAAAAAAGTTAATTCACCGCTAATTTTCTAATGACTATGAACTGATTTGTAATATTGTGTATACAGTGTTCAACCACTTAGGGTCATATTGGTAATAGTACTCAAACATTTTTACTGAATCTGTCTGACGCTGGTCTGACGTCATCACGTATGTGCTCCGCCCCCGACGTGCCTAGACGTTCTATCGCCCATGCCTTCACCAGAGTCCGCCATTAGCCCCTCGCCTCTGTTGAAGTCCCTCAGACTTTTAAGAATACTTTGCCCACCGTGATCCTTTTTTTTGGCCTCACTACTCTGGTGAGTTACGGCTTGCCTTTGCACAGTATTTAAATGATGTGTTATTAATTTCTGCATCTAATGCACTTTGTGTCGCATGGTGTGTTAGTTTGATTTGAGCTCTTGTTAGCTAGCCTACATTTAATATCTCCCTCACTTGAGAAATGATTTAACTTACGTGTAAGACGGTATGTTTATATGTTTTAAGTTATATCTCAAAGTGGAACATTTGTGTTGCAAAAGTTTTCTGGAAAAGTCGAACCTAAAATGGCGGCAGGCGGCGCATTTTCTTTCTTCTTTTTTTACCGCATTTCTGGGCATGTTTTATTAATTTAGAGGCATATGCGTTCTGCATGTTTGTAAAAGCAAGCTAACTTGAAACACTAGACTATTCATTTTACAAGGTAATTTATACCCCCCAGCGTTTTCAAATACATGTAACTCAGCAAAGGTAATGATCGTGCAGTGATGATACTAATACTTCTAGAATCTGTGGAATCTCAGCTTTAATCTGATATCTTGTATGCGCAGTTACGATAAGTAGCCTATAATAAAGTATTTCTACCGTGAATTCTGTGCGCTAATTTAGACTAATTTAATAGTGAGACTTGTGTTTTGTTTCGGTAAAAATGGTTCGTATCTTCAGTTAGCTGAGTTTCGTTAAGTGGGTATGACACATTCATAGGTTTTTAAATGTTAAGATGCCCCTGAGACAAAGTTTCGTGAACAAGAAGCCCTCGTTACCGGGGGCTGCCGGATTTAACAGATGAATAGTCTAGTGTTTCAAGTTAGCTTGCTTTTAAAAACATGCAGAACGCACGGTTATGGTACAACGTTAGTGGATTAAAATGAACGTAAATCCTCGTTGTAATAATTTATATGCTTCTAAGTAGGGCTGTGCGATTATGGCAAAAATCATAATCACGATTATTTGGGTCAATAATTGATATCACGATTATTTTGACGATTATTCATTGACCATTTATTGAACTTTAAAACAAATAATATTTTACCAATAAACAAGATCAACAAATATGTTGGAGCGCACTTCCAAAACCATACTAAACATATATTATTAATATGATAAATAAAAATAAATTAGACCAAAATAAATGAAATCAAATATGTTGCAGTGCACTGTCACAACCTACTGAAAACTCCTTAACATATAGCCAACATTTTGGTAAAACATATTCAACATATTCCACTCAGTTAAACGTTGAAGGCTGGCCAACCGTCATGGTCCAGAAGTAACAGGAAATAAATGTTGAACTACAATTTAAGACCAAATAAAAATGTTTAGGCCACCATGGCAAATGCTGGTAGGGCTGCTCATGTCATCTCTTAAAGATTGTTCGCAAGAAACACCAGCCTGTTTACATGGTCTAGTTTCAGAGATGAGCGCAGGCAGGTGACGATATTGCCACCTGTACTGAAGACCCTCAGCCACGCCCCGACACATGGGGTGACGCCGGCCAATCACAAAGCTTTGATGCGTTCAAGTGCATTATTCTGGCACAGGAAGATTATGTTACAGGACATAAAACAGAATATTGTTGTTCTATTTTTAGACACATCTCGCGATCGACTGGTTGGGCACCCCTGGGCTAGACCATAGGTCTGTTGTGGTAGCAAAGTAGTCAGCTGAAGCCACATCTCTCAACTTCCCCACGGCATTTGTCATATAGTGCAGGCAGCGCAGACCTGCTGAAATAATACCGAGACGGCATCACGTAACGCTTATCCAACGTGTTGACAAGTTGCGTAAAGCCCTGGTTGCTAACAGTGCTAACTGGGCACATATCTTTAGCGATGTGAAATGTAATGGCACCTGTAATATCTCTGTGTCTCTGCGAGCTCGTCGCGTAGGCCGTTGCTCTGTACAATGCGTCCTGAATCGATGACTGTGATGATGTGGTGGATGAAGTCGAGCGGGCATCTGCTTTTTGTTGTATTACTGCCCGGTCGTATTGCACTTTGTGGTTGTATTTCAGTTGATTAAAGAGATTGGTTGTGTTAGCGTGTGGTGCCAACACAACCTGGTAACAAATCCTGCACTGAACTTTATTTTGCTCCACGTCGGACTCCTGAAAGCCAAAGTACTTGCAAATAGTGGAAATAGTTTGACCCTTCTTTTTAACGAGTTGCTGCTCTTGTTCTGACATCTTCGCTCGCGCTGAACACTCACAACACATGTCACTCCCACGTGGCCGAGTGGGCTTTTAGGGAGGGGCGAAAAATAGCAAAATAATAGTATTTTGTCAATTATGCTGTTTTCATAATCGTCGCAAGCCATAATCGTAATCGCGATTAAAATACGATTAATTGCACAGCCCTACTTCTAAGTTAATAAAACATGCACAGACATGCATGCTGTAACAAAAAAGAAGAAAAGCGCGCCGCCTGCCGCCATTTTAGGTTCGAAAATAGTGTTTCTCATTTTGTGAAAACTTTGCAACCCAGCTAACCTTGAATGTTTTTTCTCTTAAGGAAACTGACGCAACTGGCAGATATATGGCTTCTTCAATCTGGTAAGCCTCACAGTGGAGAAACTGTGACGCGCTGGGGGGGGGGGTGCGAGTGGAGCCTCGCAGCGGCACAACTGTGGCATCCTTACGGCCCCTACACACACGGCGGCGGGCTTGTCTGAAGCTCGACCAACAACCAATTACATGAATATCCCGCCCCGGACACACAAGCACGCGGTTTGATTGGCTAGAGCTTGTACTGGCATATGATTTGATTGTCACAATGCAGTTTGGCAAAGCGTGAAGTCACTCCATTCAAAGTGAATGGAGTGAAGTTACGGCCCCTACACATGGCGGCGTGCGTTGACGCTTCTGCCCATTCACTTTGAATGGGGTGACAGTCACGCTTAGCCGAACTGCATTGTGGGAGCAAAGCGTAGCTTTCATGTGATTGGTTGTTGGTCTAGCTTCAGACATGCCCGCAGGCAAGCGTCAACGTACGCCGCCGTTTGTAGGGTGCCTGTGAATATTGTTACGTTTTCCAATGGCTTGGAGATGCAAACTTTGTGCTGCTGTCTTTGATACAAGGGCAGAGTTACTTGAACATTATAACATTATTATTCCCTTGATTGAAAAGTTAATGCAGACTACCTTTGCCCTGCGGCGTAATGAGATCATCAATGATGAGCTACCTGTTGGAGAGATCCTGGAACGCTGGCCTGCCTTGAAAATGGAGTCACAGGTGAAAATATTTTATTTATTACAACTATATAATTATTTTGTGTCCCTTTGACACTTTGACATGTTTACTCAGATTTAGCATGTCATGTTTCTGTTTATCTCTGCTGCCTTCAGTCCACATATACATTGTACTGTGAATTAAATAGTCATTTTATATTTTGGCAGAGTTTCACAGGATAACGAACCTCAACCTGAAGAACCACTTCTATGCGGAGTTGGATAGACATGTCCTCCATCTTCAGAGCCTGTTCAGGAAGTAGGCGGCAAGCAAGGAAAGGAAACTGAACTTCTGGATCAGCTATTCGCCTCCTATGACCTCCAGGTGAGTCGGTTATGCCTCTTGGTGTTTTATTCTCATACTAGAGTGGATTATCTTTGTCAAAGTGTTAATCTCTTCAGTCATGGAAGAGCCCTTTCTTGTGATATCAATTGTTGTGTGGCTATACTGTTTAGCATCCAAAGTAAAACAAAGATATGTTCTCACACTCAAGGAGCAAGGTGACGTCCATGTCCTCCGTGCTCTGCCTGCATATCTGCATGAAGATGACTCCACGATTCTGAGGCTGTGGCATGTAAGTCAGCATAATAACTGTTTTGAATGTATATGACAGATCATCAACAAATATAGTTTATCTTGTTACATTGTTTCAGGAGCTGTATCGCAGGAAGACAATTATTTGAATTTTTATAGTGAAAATTATAATAAATGATAGATTTAGTTTGAAAAAGTATGAACTGTCCTGGTGTCATCAAAGCTTGATTCTGTCACTCAGGTGTTGTTAATCAAACATTATCTCTTGTGTTGCTCACATCCCATTCAGGTTCTAGTTCCAAGATTTGAATATTGCCATAAGAATTGTAATTATTGTAAGGTACACAATGGACATGTTGAACATAATCTCCCTTTACTTCAACACTTCAGAGGTGTTGAATGTGATTTCTACTTAAGGATTTATTTGAAATTAAGCGTGTATAAAATGGGCTCAGGTGATTTAATAAAATACACAATCAAGAGAGGGCTTTCTTTCCTGCAGCATCAGTGTTCAATACAAAATAATCTCTCGTGTTCCCCATATATTTTTGTATGTGTAGTAGGGAGAGATTATACTGTAAATATATATTCAGTTGCCAGTTTATTAGGTACAACTAGCTAATAGTAACAGTCTAATACAGTGATAAAATAAATCCTACCCTTATGAAGGTTATACATTTTTTTTAATTTGTTTGAAAGCATTTATGTCAACTGATTGGTTATTTTGGAGGCTGACGTTTCTGGTGCTGTAACATTATGTTGTGCAATGCTAATAGGCGTTTCCGTAAACCCACATTAGGCACAAAACATACGGTTATTTGATGTGATATGTCACTGATGTATTTTTCAGAAAACACATTTCTGAGAGAGGCAAGGCAATTTGGGTAACGTTTATCTGTTCTTGTCATCAGGTGGAGCATTCTGATGATCCAGACACAGAGGGCATCGCGGTCGGACTTCTCATGATCAGTGCCAGGTCAACAGACACCACGCTCTTCTGCCCAGAGAGGATCGCTGTTGTCATTGAGGGTAACGGAGTTATGGAACTCCCCACACTGGCTGACGCATTCATCCTGCTTTTTGCACTGACCTTTGCCCTGCATCTGAGCTACCCAAAAGACTTGGCCAACACTTTCGACTTCACCTAGAAAGTGTTGATGAGGGGAACTTGAAGCCCAGGGTGTTGAGCCTGAAAAAGCTTTTGGCAGTTTAATCCAACCAACAAAGTTGCACTTTAACAATCACACACACACTGTTCTCCTCTGTTTACATCCTGCTGCTTTACATCTGTGTTCTGTTGTGTGCATTGACAGATTTGTTACTGTTCAGCTTCAAGTTGAAGGACTGTTCGTAGATGTTTTATACTTTTATATGTATTGGGTCTTTATGGTCCATGTGTTAAATTAATACGCAGAACTGTTCCTGAAAATTGTGTTCACTCATAAGTGATGGTTAAAATACACACAGATATTTCTCAAGGCCCTAGCACTGTTTTTAAGGTGTTTTTATTTATTTAAGAGTTAAATATATTGAATTTGTATTGTGCTAAAATGCATTGTTCTTTTATAGTGGAAATGGAATGTTGGCGATTTGCCAAAGCTGTTCAAATTATCAATAAATGCATTTTTATATCTATATATATACGGTGTGTTTGGAGATAATTCATTACACTATTATACATTATTATTATATTCTATTTAGCCCAACAATATAGTTAATTTCAATCACTAGCTTGGGTCAAATAAACAACCCCGCACATGGGTTAAAATGATCCAGCCCAGCATATGGGTTAAGACAACCCAGAGTGTGTTCTGTCCTATAGTGACTCAGCAGCTGGGTTATGATTGGGTTATTTTTTAACCCAGTAGTTTTAAGAGTGTATGGCAGGCATCCTCAAACTACGGACTCCGGTCCGGATCCGGACCGAACCACCACTGTCTCCGGACTCTGAGCAAATTATACTTTTCATATGTATGATCTCTCTGTATTATATGTGAGACATCGCCACAACGCATTCGCAACGAGTCAAAATTCTCCGCTATGTCCACTGCAAACAGCGCTCTGCATGTCTAACTGTTCCACCTGTGTGTGTCAACGCTTTGGTCCAATCACATTCAGCATCCAGTCAGCGTTTTTTCCCCCCAAACAATCTGCGAATCAGAGGCACAGTAGGGCGGGTCTTCGCGGAATGCGGGTGGGAAAAATGTGTGTGTCTCTTTCAACCTGTCTAAGTCAGAGCGAGAATTAAAACAAAAACAAAAAAAATTCAGAGCGAGAGTTAACAGCTCATCTAGTTCCATCTGTACTGTAGCTAGTAGCCTAGTTTCACCTACCGGGGTGGCAACTGACAACCTAAAAATAGGCCTTGCCACTCCAGCTGCCACCCCAGTTGGCAGCTTTGTTTTGAAAGAAAAGTTGTGGCTCATCGGACATTTATGAGAGAAAGTCTCTAATGTCCGAGTGCAAGTGAATGCAGCACAAGATGCACGTCATGTAACCCCTCCCCCGGTCCTGGCGCGAGCGTGGACATACGATTTGGCGGCGATTTCATTTTGAACTGGACGGCGCAAAACGAGAAGCATTCTGACCCAAGCACTGAAGGAATGAGGTATTTGCGGTCTACAATGACAGAGAAGAGACTGTCAGTTTGACTGTACTCAGCATTGAATCAAAACGCTCTAAAGCTGTTGATCTTAATACGTTTGTGAGGCGTTTTGCTGAACAAAATGGTAATCGCCGCATTCAGCTGTAATAGACATGTCAACTTGATGCTCTGCTCACGGATGAGCATACACAACTATTAAGATGATGACCTTACGTGTGTAAATATATTGTTTTCTTTGAGGGGGTCTGCCCCCAAAAAACTGTTTTAAGTCCTGAGAAAGTCAAATAAGACGGTGTTTAAAACTTCACTGCCCAGCCAAAAAAAAGTAACCACTTTGATGTAACTAGGCCAGTAGGTAAGGGCTTTCCACTGGATAATAACTGCAGTATAAAAGAATGCATGACTGAAGTGATGGAGACCATGTTGAAGGCAAACAAAAAGAGGAAATAACAGGTCAAATCAAGCAAATCCCCCTCTCAGATTGCACAGCAACCAGAAGAACATAAATACTGGCTGGTGATTTGATTCATCAGCTTTGTGATGGAATAAAAAATGCACAGTGCATTTCCTTAGCTGTGGGTGAGTCCACTGACACCACTGACAATGCTCAGTTGCTGGTGTTTGTGAGTTTTTATGATGAGGCAAAGGGGGAGTTTGTTGAAGATGTGTTGGGCCTGACGAACCTCAGTGGACACACAAGGGGGCAAGACATTTATAAAGCAATAATGGGAATGCTGAATGAAAGAGGGTGCAGCTGCCTTTATTCCTAACTGTGCAGCTCTTACACTGCGACTCTGAGGGGTCAAGCACAGACACAACAACAATGAAAACTGCTGCATATACAGATTATTTTTGTTTTTGCAACCTCGTGTTAAGAATCTTGTTGCAATTGTTTAAAAGTTTGAATGACCGTAATAAACGGACCTTTGTCTTATTGAAACATTTATTTTGGACCTTTAAGATTTGTATTTGAGTACCCCTGGTGTATGGCATGACTTTTTATTTTGGGTGAAAACATTTTTTTCACCATGTGTTTTAGGAGCTTAGGGGTCCCTGATATTATATCAATTATAAAATGTTTGTGTGTGTGTGTTTCTCTGTGTGTGTGTGTGTATGTGTTTGTATCTCTGTGTGTGTGTGTATATATATGTGTGTTTCTGTGTGTGGGTGTGTGTGCGTGTATGTGTTTGTATCTTTGTGTGTGTTTGTATGTCTCTGTGTGTGTGTGTGTTTCTGTGTGTATGTGTTTGTATGTCTTTCTGTCTGTGTGTATGTGTTTGTATGTCTCTCTGTGTGTGTGTATGTGTGTGTGTGTGTTTCTGTGTGTGTGTGTGCCTAACCCTATGTTGACCTTCACTGTCCTCACTGTCAGACGGAATAGCCCTGATCGTGTCCCTTCTGCCCATAACATGTGTTGGGGTCCATTTCCTGTAAATATCAGTAGATGTAAAAACATTGATTAGGTTTATCATTTTACAGCTGAGCACATTTGCACACTTGCATGATATTGCCTGGAAAAAAGTGGTCCAAGTGGCACAGTGTTGCCCTGAGGCAACGAACAAAATAATAAGTATTTAAACAATCAAATATACTTCTTTACGTATTCATGCACATGCATGTATTTTTTATTTTAAGTTGTGTACATTTCTAATATGTTAAAAAGTTAAATGTATCTTACCAACTGGTGGCCCTGAGTCCCCTGCAGCTTTGCTTGCAGAAAGGACTGCTCCACCCCCAGACAAAATGCCACACCCATATAATTCCCTCATTTTCAAACAAATATTTAGAGGGCCAGTGTGAGGTCAAAAAAAGTGGTTTGTTGCCTGAGGGCAACAGTATGCCATAGAGGGCAATTATATATTTAGTGGTTTATTCAGGTAGGACAGCCTGACATTGCTGTAAATGTAGAGTGTGTGTGTGTGTGTGTGTGTGTGTGTGTGTGTGTGTGTGTGTGTGTGTGTGTGTGTGTGTGTGTGTGTGTGTGTGTGTGTGTGTGTGTGTGTGTGTGTGTGTGTGTGTGTGTGTGTGTGTGTGTGTGTGTGTGTGTGTGTGTGTGTGTGTGTGTGTGTGTGTGTGTGTGTGTGTGTGTGTGTGTGTGTGTGTGTGTGTGTGTGTGTGTGTGTGTGCACATTCTCTAGCTATCTCTCTACCTGTTTCTTCATTCATACCTAATGCATTGCCTGTGTTTTCATTACACTAGAAGTTAAGTGTTCAGGTGCTCTTCCTTTAATTTAGCCTCTGTGGCATCGCTTCTCTGGTGTTTAATGGTGTTGCATATATTATGCAGAGGATTGAGATGTGGCGCAATATTTCCAGGATCCATATTTTGGTCAGTGTCGCTTGTCTCGTCTTTTTGGGGTAAGACTTTTATCTACCTTTTTTTAAATAATATTGTATAGATACGGATAGTACGATTCTACAAAATAAGGCTTTTTAATACCGTTTGTAAAATGACTTGTGAAAACTAATGTTTCATCCTATACATTAAATACTGTGCTACATTAGCAGGATTCTTATTTTTTCATAAAACACTGGTCATTTGACAGTTTACACCAAACTTGAAACGCTAAATGTGACATTGAAGAACTTTTTCATCAAATGAAATGAACAAAACAAGCTTTAGGATACGTTATGACACCATGTGACATTTCTTATACTTTTGACTTGATTTGTTCATAGTCCAATTCATATATTGGAAGCGTGTGGTGCAGTGCGTTGGTGTTCGGATCAGTGGGTCACAGGTTCAAACCCCACTGCAATCAGCATGTCGTTGTGTCCCTGAGACACTTCACCCCAAATTGCTCCTGTGGGGATTATCCACAGTATTGAGTATGTAAGTCGCTTTGGATAAAAGCGTCTAACAAGTGACGTGTAATGTAATGTTATATAAGAGAGCATTGAGTTAATGATTTCTTCCCTCAGTTAAATGGGAGTGATTGTACTCACATAAATAATTAGTTAAGGTCACACACTCATTAAGGATGTGTTGTAATGGAAAATAAAAAAAATATGGCACCTAATTTTTATAATGTGTTCAGGACTTGTATGGTCTTCAACCTCTTTAAAAACGAGCGACCAATTGGTAGATATTTGCTAACATCCGCAAAGCTCGAATTTCTAAAATGCCCCTTTTTTGACAGGCTATATTACATTTATCTGTTCCATTTAACATGTCTTATATCTTATATTCAAATGATTCACTTTCTGTTGTTGCAGTTATAGTTTAGTCACTTAACTGCAAACACAATTTCCTTTCAGTGACAATATGCTTGAACTGAATTGTATTTCATTTAGCTGTAAATGTGGTTCACCCTCTTAACTGCATTCTTTGATGTTTGGTTTTACTGGTATCCTACAATGCATTTAGTTTCAGCACTAAATGGAAGAATATGTGCAAAAATAGGCATTAAAAGATCATCAGAATTGTCAAAGAACAACAACATCAAAAGAGCTTGATTATTGCCCTGTACTGGACGTTATGCCCTCTCTTGTTGAAAGCTGGTAACTACTGTATTCATTTGTACAGTTTGTTAACTCGTATCTCTGTGTGTTTACAGGGCCATCTATATCTTCGGGAATAATGAATCACTCTGCAGGTAAGTTAGCTGTGAGACAAGTCAGTTGAAAAGGTGTAAAATCGGCTAACAAAACCAAACAAAACAAACATCTACCACTCACACTTGACATAGAAACAGGCTGTAGATAATATAACATTTATAAAGGAAATACTTTTAATATTCCAATTTGTTCCTTACTTTATTATACATTTGGTCAATTTAATCCCTGTCTTTTTTCAAAGGTGTTTGGAGCAAAGGCCCCAAACTCCTTTGAGCCTTTGCCCGAACAGCGGCGACGCCTGGACGATCCGAGACCTAAAAATGCAAACGGGGTGAGAATGCATTTATCTTTTTACTAACAGGGAGAAAAAGTCACATCCATCTTTTTACGGTTGCTATGGCTGTTAGCCTCCTCACCCTGTTGTTAAATATTTACTAAATGTCCAACTGCTCAGAACAGACAATAAACGGTATGAATCTTTATTAGGGCATAACAGTAAGAGCAAAGTATCACTAGAAGCTTGCAGTGATACTTTTATTATTGGTTAATGTTTTACAATGGCAGCAGCAGCTCAGTAAGCAAGTTAAAGTTGTCCCTGCATGCCCCTCAGGAGTTTGAAAACACGGGTTGGCGCCATGAGATGACTTTGTATACGGTTTATCTCTTATGTGGTCCACTGGGTAATGTTTCTTGTTCTCTGTCTTTGTAATCAGTGGTGAACGGAGTACTACATTTTATACTTAAGTAAAAGTAACAACGGATGGGTTAAATGCAGAGAACAAATGTCACTGTGTGTGCTGTGTGCTCTGCATGTGTGACCATTAAAGAGGGTTTCATCCCTCCCATTCTACTAAATTGTTAAAATACTTTCTTATAATTAAACGTTGTGCATTAAAAATCTTAGTGAAGTAAAGGTACAACACCATTGACATCAAAATATACATGTATATAAATACAAATATGAAGAATCTTTCATTATAATGGCCCATTTTAGAATCATATGAAATTACTTGATTATGAAAATTGTTGCATATTTGAATTACATTGTATACGGCTGCTGGATATTTGAAATTGTAATTATATGAATAGGTATATTTTTACTAGTTTATTTATATTTTGTATGAACTAATAATCAAAAAATAGTATTAATCAAAGTAACTAACAAAAGCTGTCTAATAAATAGTATAGGGAAAACAACAGTATTGTCGAAATGAAGTGGAGTAAGGGTAAAGTATCATAAAAGGAAAATACTCAGTTAAAGAACCTCAACATTGTACTTATTGTGGAACAATACTTGGTGTATACAATACTTTGATGTACTAACTGATACTTGATGTATTTTCTGTACTTGTTTTAAGACTCTTTTTACCCCACAATTCCTATTTTGAATACTAAAGATACATGTATTCGCTGCTCTTTTTTTTAGACTGGAATATGCTCAGCCAAGCACACTGAAAGGGTAAGTTATTTAAACAGATGCAATTTTTTGCAGTGTAAACATAGTCTGTTTGTTTACAATAATGGATTTCACTCTTATAAAAATATGTATAGAATGGACTTCACCTTAATGTAAGTAAGTAATTAAGCAATCTAGTGTCCCTATACATTTGTGAATAATATAATTCATAATATGTACAACATCTTTTAGAGGTTAGGTGACTTAAAGAACAATGATTTGTTTTTAAGTGTGTTTAAGGATGCAGTATAAACTTCAGTGGAGTCTGCTGATCAGGACACACTTAACTTGGCATGTGTTTTAGAGAAATGTGCATAATGCTGAAAAGAAAAGTCAGTATATTATTTGGTATCAGCTTATGCTACAACTTATTAAATATTGAATATATCATACAGACCCAAACAAGCTGGACCAAGATCTGAAAACGACTAAATCTGTCCCAGACGCACGGATGTGAACGCAGTCACAAACTGGAATGCTCCTCTGGTTTGGGAGGGGACCTTTGATCCAGTGGTTATCGATGCTATATACAAGAAAATGGACCCACGAGTGGCTGTGTTGGTGTTTGCTGTTGGCAAGTATGTTCACAGGATATTCTCACAAGGAGCTATGAGTTGATATAGAGATTCTTGTAAACCTGAAAAAGTAAAGCTGTTTCACATAAATACTCCCTACGTTTTGATATAATGATGTGTCTTGTGTCGCTGATCTTGTCTTATATTAATTGTTAACACTTCTAGCATGCTCTTTTTTCATCCAGATACACAAGTTTCCTGAAGGGCTTCCTTGAGTCGGCCGAAAAGTATTTTCTTATTGACTTCAGGGTCACTTATTACATCTTCACAGACAACGAAAAACAGGTCCCCAAAGTAAGTTGTTGTTTGTTAATATGTTTAAAGTTATTTTCTGCATTGCCCGGCAGCTAAACCCATTGAGAATTGAAGTCTAAAATATAATGATTATACTCTCTTGTATGGATTGCTTATTCTTTTAAAAGCAAATGAAAAGGTATGGTATATCGAGATGTTGTGTGCATTGAGATTGAATCGGAATTGAAAAAAATATTTTATAGTTCACAAAAGGAGCGAAAAGCTGAAAAGGGACAGAAGAACTTCCCAAAATCCAATGTCTGCTAGATTTTGCAACATACATTATACAGTGAAAATGAATTGAGTCTCAGGAGTTGTTGCAGACATTTTGGGTTGTTACCATATGTAACACTATTGGTACTATATGGAAATGTTTTAACAACACGAGAGGATAAAACAAGTCAAAAATCCCTCCAATATACAACATTGACCAACCAACCATTAACACTATAAGAGGAATAATATAGAAAAAGTCATGCAATGCTGATTTACGATCAAAAACGTTTGAAACTTGATAAGATCAACTTAATAGCCCAAATGATTAGCATAAAGTAAGTATGTCTTTAAATGTGAGCCTTGTGGATATCAAAATAACCCTTTTTTTAGATCAAGAATAAAACTTTACATTTTTTACTAACAATTCTTCTAAATACACCAAACCAAAATTAAATGTAAACATGTAAACAAGTTATCTGTTTGTCTTTGTTTATCAGATTAAACTAGCTAGGGGCCGAAATATCGCAGTTGTCCCCATCCCTGGAGCCAATCGCTGGCAGGAAGTAGTACTGGGCAGGATGAAATGGGCCACCATCACCATTGACAACCAGGTAAGAAATTAAATGCACAACATAGGCACAACAAATCACCAAAGCTAGTGCCTTTTTCATCTGGTTGGTTACAGTAACCAATGCTGTTAAATATTGACAGCTCAGTTTTTACTAGTTAGACAATACAACAGACCTAAAAACAAAACAAAAATTGATATATGAGCTAGAAACACCACCAGTGCCATCTCTCACAGATATGCATGTAAAAATAGTTCCCTAAATTATTATTATTTATCAGTGCATTCAGTCTCACATTTCAACTGTTATGTTTGCAGATCCGTAAGGAAACGGACTATCTTTATATGATGGACATCGACAGCGTCTTTCACAACCGTTTCGGAGCAGAATCTCTCGACTGTCTGCTGTTCTTCACCGTGGCTACTACAAGGTTTCCCTCTTTTGTTCCAATAGATTAACGGCTAACTTTATCCTACGGTACGTTTTCTGCATTTCAATGTCTCAAAACCACTGAAACTAGTCAAACTTTCTGAACGATTAGCAATACAGTAAGCCTAACAGGTGGAATCGTTTTTTTTACATTGCATTTCGCTGACGCTTTTATCCAAAGCGACTTACAATAAGTGCGTTCGACCAACAAGATACAAACTTGAAGAAAACAGAATCATATAAGTACATCAGGTTTCATAGAGCTAAAACATTTCAAGTGCTACTCAACTGGTTTTAGATAAGCCAGCGCTTTATTAGTATATAAGTGGTTTGTTAGCAATTCTTTGTTAGTAATTCTATCGATCGAATTGGAGTCGAAAGAGATGAGTTTTCAGTCTGCGCCGGAAGATGTGCAAGCTATCTGCTGTCCTGATTTCAATGGGGAGCTCATTCCACCATTTTGGAGCCAGGATAGCAAACCCACGTGTTTTTGCTGATGGGAACTTGGGTCCCCCTCGCAGCGAGGGTGCAGCGAGCTGTTTGGCTGATGCAGAGCGGAGTGCACGTGCTGGGGTGTACAGTTTAACCATGTCCTGGATGTAGGAAGGGCCAGATCCATTCGCAGCATGGTACGCAAGTACCATTGTCTTGAAGTGGATTCTAGCAGTTACCGGAAGCCAGCGGAGGAGCGGCGTGGTGTGGGAAAATTTAGGAAGGTTGAAGACCAGACGAGCCGCTGCATTCTGGATGAGCTGCAGAGGTCGGATGGCACATGCAGGTAGACCAGCCAGGAGGGAGTTGCAGTAGTCTAGGCGTGAGATGACGAGAGCCTGGACCAGAACCTGCGTCGCTTTCTGGGTCAGGTGGGGACGTATCCTGCTGATGTTGTAAAGCGTGTATCTGCAGCAGCGGGTTGTAGCAGCGATGTTTGCAGTGAAGAACAGTTTGTTATCTAGTGTCACACCCAGATTCCTTGCAGTCTGAGTCGGGGAAACAACTGAGGTGCCTATGTTGATTGTTAGGTCAAGAGTGGGACAATCTTTTCCCGGAAGGAAGAGCAGCTCAGTCTTGTCAAGGTTGAGCTTGAGGTGGTGAGCAGACATCCACTGAGAGATGTCCGCTAGACAAGCAGAGATGCGTGTGACGGCCTGGGTCTCTGAGCGGGGAAAGGACAGAATTAGTTGGGTGTCGTCAGCGTAGCAGTGGTATGAAAAACCATGCGGGCTAATGACAGATCCGAGCGAGTTTGTGTACAAGGAGAAGAGGAGGGGACCAAGAACAGAGCCCTGAGGGACCCCCGTAGTTAATTGACAAGGGTCGGACTCGGACCCTCTCCAAGTTACCCTGTAGGTACGGTCTTTGAGGTATGAGGTGAGGAGGGAAAGTGCAGAGCCTGAAACTCCAAGTTCTTGTAGAGTGCGAAGGAGGATCTGATGATTCACCGTGTCGATTGGAGCAGACAGGTCCAGAAGGATGATGACAGAGGATCAAAGATCTTATCAATTTACTTGTTATGTGTTATGACACAGAGGACATTGCCACATTTGTTGATCACCAAGTCATCATCAAGTATTAGCTAAAGCCTCTCCTCCCTGTCATGTTTTGTCCATATCTTATTTTATCAGAACACATTGAGGGACGGGTTTCCTTATGAGCGCCGGCCAGCGTCCAGGGCCTTCATTCCTGTTGATGAAGGAGACTACTACTACACTGATGCTGTCTGGGGGGGGGTACCTGGAGGATGTATACAAGCTAGTCAGGTAACCAGAACCATTGACATGTTATTAAGATGTTTCCATTTAGCTATTACTAAATACGTTTAAAGTATAAGACCCTGGACACAGTGGACAGGTACAAATATAGCCTTTCAAAACCTGTTATATTTAATCTAAAAAAGGCAGTGTTTCCACCCCATTGTGCACAAATGCTCAGCTCGACTTGACTTATCAGAATCAGAATTTCTTTAGTGGGTAAGTGGGGGGAATTTAGGGTGTTGCAGCAGCAGATAAAATGCAAAAGGTAAAAGAGAAGACTGAAAAATTTAAATAAAAAGGAAAACACTCGCTATTAAAAAATATAAACAAATAAGCTAAAACAGATAAGTGCACCTTGGTAAAAAACAATGCGTTCATCAGCAACCAAACAGAGGAGCATTTACATTTCGTAAAAAAGGTGTGGTGCAGTTGTGCTAGTTGCCATTTGGTAGCTATTTAAAAACGCTAAGTTGTGCATATGTCCGACGACATGTTGGTGACCTTTCTCTGACCAATGAATGGTCTGCATTGTTTTAATGTCACATTACAGTATTGACTCAGCTTACTTGGACTAACTACAACTTTTCTCAATGAAAACCACATTGAGAAGAGCCATACCATGCATTGGAGACACAGCTTGAGAAAATATATTTTTCTGAAACAATTAACTCTGTCTTCTTGACATTTTGACCATTCAAATCTAATATAATGCAAAATTAATTTGAACTTTAGCAAAGTGTATATGACTTCTATCTCTTTCATTTCATTAGATACTGTTACAAGCAGTCGGAGGAGGATGCCAAGAATAAGATTGAAGCTATCTGACAGGAAGAAAGTCACCTCAACAAGTAAGTTTCACAATTGATTGCCTCAGTTCAAGTGCATTTCTGTTCATTCTTATTTTAAAGGACACATTTCCAACCTGCTTATATTGTCAACTTCTATCTATTCTAACTGCTAGTATTTCTTGTTTAAAACAAGCTTGTGTTTGTGGAACAAATCAATACAGAATTGTGATTGATGTATTATACAACATAGACATATTTACTGTTGCCTGTTTTTCTATCATTCAGGTACCTGCTGTACAACAAACCAACCAAGGTGCTGTCTCCAGAGTACCTGTGGTCAGATTACGATGGGATACCAGAAGACATTCAAGTTGTCAGGATTTCCCAGTTGATCTACGCAGAATAAATGGTGGACATTGATGTCAAGTCACTGACATTTAAAGAATAATAGAAGTGGGTTGAGTGTATGGGTTGCTTTTTATATTCAGTTTTTATTTAACAGTATGAATAAATTACTGAAATAAATAAACAGATTTTAATCTCTCTGTAGACATTAATTAAAGTAATCTTGATGCTGTACCTTGTGGTATGTGGTGGAGGTTATTTATAGTAGCAGTCCTTCATTCTTTGGAACTTACTGTAATTTCCATTTGACTGATTTTGTTACAGCTAAATGTCATAATTCCCCTGTGTTGATTGGAGGGTACGCCTGTACAGGGAGTGGTGAGAACTGGCTCCTTACTAAGAATGAGAGCATCTTGGTCACAAGTTAAATGGATGTTTTTCTTTTTGCATTTCATAGAAACAAATTAAAGAGATTACCCTGAACCAGAAGCAGAAGGAAAAGGATCTGTCCCCTATTTTGCAAAAAATATATATAATATCTTACTGAAGAGAGAAAGTCAAAGAGAAAATTGATGAAAAATGCAAACACGTTTTTTGTGTGGAAATATTCTCAAATATTTAGGTATTTTGTGTAGTCTGCACTCTTGTAAGGCTTCCAAAAATATTGTATGTTTAGTTTTTTTAATGTTTTTGGTTTCAATGAAACAGTAATTATCATGCATTTTAAAAGTTATGTATGGAAGCTTCCATTGATGTTTATATATTTTCTTGAAAAAAAAGTGAACTGTCTATGGTTCTTATTATACATCCATGATGGTGGACTGAGGTAGCGCTGCGTCATTGCGACAGTGTCGTAAAGCGCCAATGTTGTGGTCGGAAATTGCACCAGTCGTCCTTTGAGTTGAGCTTTCAGTCGCCCTTCAGCAGAGAAACAGTGCTCATCTCGGCTTAAACACAACACACCACACCAACGTTAAACCATGGCAGCGGTTATTGCACGGAAAGCTATCGACCACATGAAGAGCAAGGAGTTCAGGGAATATTTGATGAGGTATGTAAATGAAGCTGTTATATTTTCTATTGGCTCTCATGCTAAAGTAGCGTTAGCTCCGGTGGCTGTCGTGTGACATACGAGGGGTATAACAAGGGGTTGGTTTACTGCCGTGTTCTGTCCAACATATGTTTTCATAAAATCTAATGACAATTGTTAACAATGTGTTTGTTTAATTGTGTTATAATGGTATTGTTTATCTCAGTTGTCTGCTAGTTTTCAAGGACATTTGCTCGCCTCTTTATTCAACGTTAATACGACTTTCTCATTTAACTTGTGTCTCCAGTTTGTGAGGTTGCCAATACATTGAGAGAAGATTGTGGATAAACTTGTTTTTTAAAGCATATCTAACTAATTACGGTATGTCATTAACATTGGTGGAGTAAGAACTCAGATATCTTAGTACAAGTAGCAATACCGCAGTGTAGGAATACTCTCTGGAGTTAAAAATGTATAATACGCATCAAAATGTACTTACACTACCAAAAGTTGGTCAGTATTCCAATTAATATACTATATTATTGAATAGTTATTGTGAGCGTTTTAAATGCTGTAGCCAGTAAATATGGGGCTTGTTTGTGCTGTTAATACTTGCAGGGAGCTTTACCAAGGGATTAATCCTTTTTAACCCTAACCTGCTATAACCCATCTAAGCAGAGAGCACTACTATATAATGTGTGCATGTTTCCCTGGCGCTAACTGCTAAAGGCTAAATTGTAACACAGTGACGCAAGTAGCCATCTTTGTTGACATTTATAACAGATGAAAATGGTTATCCCCCGGGGGTTATTTTTTGAAGAGATTTTTCTTTAACAGTTAGTAAAACATTTAGAAGGTTATATAAATACAGTGTAATTGTAGGGGAGGCTTTCTGACGGAACAAGGATTTCTGTGGTGGCATGTTCTGTGTAGAAAACACAGATTAGTTTGTGTTATGAAGACAGTGGACTGTGAGCATTTGTAATGTTTTCATCCAGATACTTAAATGTTACCTCACTCATTATTAATTCATTATGGAACAAAGAAGTATTTTTTACTTCCTGCAAAGCCGTGCTTTTTAAATTGTAGCAGTTTGCTTGTCATATTTTGTGAATGTATCTGTCCTGAAACTGACCTATGTTCTGTTTTGCATGGCAGCAGCTCTTGTTTGGCCCCTATCTCATATCTTATTTATGTTCTTCTCTCTTCTATGTGGCCCTGAAAAAAAACAACGTGTCAAAAAGCACAGTAAGTACTCATCCTTGTTGTTTGTCTTATTGCTGTCAGTATATTTCTATCTGCGTATCACCTTATCTGTGATTCCCTTCGGTTATGTCTAGCTTAAGCTTTCTGTTTCCTACCTACATATGCTTAAAACTACATTTGTCCCTTTCTGTTTATCTGTACAGCATTTCTGGGGTCCAATCGCAAACTGGGGTCTTCCTATAGCCGCCTTCACAGATATGAAGAAGAGCCCTGAGATAATCAGTGGCAGGATGACCTTTGGTAAGATAAAGCCAGATGTAGACACACAAGAGCACACAACCATTTATGGATAACTGTGTTAGGGTTTGGTGTGTCAGCTTAACATTTTATCAAGGTTTCTTAGAATTAAACGATTGTAAACTACAGCTGCAATTTCTCTCTTTAGGTATTTAGATATTTTATTTGACTGCTTCTTTTATACCTCACATTCTGAATTCAAGAAGGCCTCAAAGGAACTGAAAACTTGGTCAATGTGTTGTACAAAACATCAGGTCTTTATTGGAGTATATCAAAACAAATAGGAATAGAATAAATATTTGTCTTTATTGATGTTGCATTGAACCTGCTGTGATGCAGGAACATTTTAGACTTGATATGGTTAATAATATATGGTAATAAAGTATGTTAAAGAAATACAAAAAGTATATAGATTATAACAAATCAGTGCCAATCACTTAGTGATTTAAGAGAAGAAAACACTTAAATAAACCATTGCCTGTGTTTTTTCCATCCTCTCAGCTCTGTCCTGCTATTCCCTGCTCTTCATGAGGTTCGCCTACAAGGTGCAGCCACGTAACTGGCTGCTGTTCGCCTGCCATTTGACCAACGAGTCTGCACAGCTTATCCAGGGAAGTCGTCTCATTAAATACAAGTAAGCAATCATTTATGGTGGTATTTCCTGTTGTCATTAGGAACAGATCATGTATCATGAAACGCTTTTTTTCAGATTTTTACTCTGTTATGATATGATATGATAATGAGACCTAGAATAAAAAAACATATGTCCAAAATCCTTTTATAATCTTTGACATTTAAGGTGAAGGAATAAAAGAGAAATGTAAGCACTCTGACTGTTTCTTTTTCATTGCAGCATGGACAAGAAGAAGGGCGCCCAACTGCTTCAACAGCCATAATAACCTGAACATTAAAACTACTGAATATAAACATGTTATCTCAATGAAGCTGTGCCACTTTCGCCATTTAAACCGGATGTTACCAAGATTGATCATCCTCACAAGTTTGAATCACTTTTTACTACACAGACAGAAAAAAAGAATTTGCTTTCCTTCAAGAATTTGAGTAAACTGCTGTGATTTAATTACATTTTTGCTTAATTCATCATGACACAAAATATAATATGGGTGAATGTACACTTAGCTAACCAGTCTGACAGTTAGCTGTCTTTCACACTGGCTGTTACACTCGTTTTAGGTAATCAGCAATAATATTTGTGTTGCTTTCTAACTGGCTTATTAATGGAACAAATAATGATATGTCAATGGGAACTCAGCCTGAGGTCAGTTTGTGCAAATGTGTCCACACCATGGCACATTATACTTTGCTAAGCACTTTCATTCATCAACCTTTACTTAAATGCCGAGGACACACAGAGAGCTAAGCTCTTTGTTTGTTTTACTCTGGAGTAAAATGTTAAGCTGAACCATGAAAACAGAATGTGTATGAGGAGCCGATATGGCTTTATGACACTGTAATAAATAAGAAAAGCTGCTTCTGTCAGTGCTGACCAACACATGTACTGTGTGTTGTTCTCATGTCATTCACATGAATTTATTGTCATTGTATAATAAACATTAGTTTTCCCTAATTATTCATTTGAATCTCTGGCGTTGTCCAAATAAACTGGCTTTAACCAAGTTGAACACAATTAAGCAAGTGAGTGATTTATTCTTTTAAAGTTCAGCTTTGTGATTTTGTTTTTAATCTGATAATTGTTTTTGTTTTAAAGTCATGTTCCATGACTCATTGGCAGGAATGAGTCCTTCACAAAGTCAGATATTCTACCTTGGTAAATGAACACGGCTGTGTATTTACACTCACCACTTTGCTCTTCAACCTAATGCCATGTTGGAATAAAAACAACTACTGTTTTCAACAAAGTTAAAAGATACCAATCAAATTACAGGAAATGAATGGTTATTTATGCATTTCAATAAAAAGGAATCGATCAATATCTTCAAAACCAGTTGTCAAAAAGCGATTCTAATCCTTTAACCCTGTAACCACTTAGGGCTATTTAGTCAAACATCCTGCACTTTTACTTAGCTAAAACTATAAGTGTTATTAGCAAATGCAGTTAAATTGCTTATAGAGCCTATTATATTTTTGCGGTAATATTGTTATTTGTTAAAGAGGTTATTTTTAATGCAGGCTATAGGTTGTTGGACCGTTTAATCAAAAACCTTGCATCATATGTCACTCGTGACCATTCTGAAGCAATACGAAAATATGGAGTTGACTAAAAAGTACAATATATCCCCCTGAAATTATCTAGAGGTAAAGAAAAGCAAAACATAGAAACACTGGTAAAGTACCTACCTGAGCATTGTTCTAAGCAGCTCTAAACTAATTTGTTATATTCACTCGAGTTGAGGGGGGATGGCATCCCCCCTGAAATAAAAACGGTCAAAATCATCCCCCTTCTAAAACTGCCATTCCCCCTTTCCATCCCTTATGTCATTTGATCAATGAACGTGGCACTGGTATTACTGCTATTTTAACATAAATTTTGCGCATTTTGAGTAAAATACTGTGGGCGAGGGAGCACGCACACACGCAATGACATTTTTACCAAGTCACTGACGCTATGCTATGCGAGTGCCCTAGAGGGCGCCAGAGCGCCGTGATGCGCCTATTTGATCGATGCCAGAAGCGCAGGTAAGGTCATCACAATGGCTAAGCGACCAGGAGGACAACGCGATCTGAGGGACTTCATATTTAAAAATACTAAAAATAAAATTTCAGGTAAGTCAAGAGTCAGTAATCTTAGTCATTACTCATTACTTTACTCACCAAAGGTGAAATCTATGGACATAAGCAGCAATAATAACTTAGTTTGGAGTTTAGCTACGTTTTTCTCTCGTGTTAGCTAGCTGGTAAGACTCAAAACTGTTGATGAAATGATACCACCAGCCCCAGAAGAGCTGAAACCCCTCCTTCAAGCAGTGAACACTCTGGTCATCTCCACAGCTGAGTGTGAACGTGGGTTTAGTCAGATGAACATTTTAACCACAACTAGAAGCTCCCTAGAGGTAAAAAGCATGTCAGCCTTGATTTTCATCAAGTGTGTTGGCCCTCCACTGAACAAGTTCAGACCAGAGGTATTATATGTCAAGACTTGGCTTCAAAGCCATTGCTTAGCTAACAATCCGAAAGCAAGAGCCAGAAAAATTGAGACCAAAAAACATGATTATGAAAATCTTTGGAAACTTCTATGAGATGGGGGAGAGTGGAGTAGGCAGCCATTGACAACATTGGTCCTATTTTGTATTATCTGTATAATCTTTTAATATATTTTCATATTTTGTAAACAATTTCAATTTGCACTCAATGCCCTGTTAAAAAAAGTAACATTGGGAATGTTAACATACAATATTTGTATTTGAACTGCAATAAAATGATGACGGATCAATATTTTTCTAATTTCTTTCCAAATTTTTTTCATGAAGTGTTTAATTTACATAATGATTTAATTAATTACGATACAAATGTAACCCTTTAGATACCAGTTTTGATCGTATACCAGTAACTGCTTTGTTGAAAAAATACAAAAACTATTTTGACTTTATTATTAGTATAATCAGTTGATCCATCTGAATAATAAATGAGGGACTGTTAACCTACAAGATTTGTACCATAGACTTCCATTATAACCACATTTTTGTATCCCCTCCCCCCCTTTAAATTAAAGTGAAAAAAAGATTTTGCACTAATTGTCCTCTGCATTTGACCCTAAATGTTAGCGGTGCCATGGCAGCCCGGGGACCGACTCTAATTCTGAGGTGCCTTGGTCAAGAGCAATGAAAGGAGTATCTGAACATCCATAACATGCATGTTGTTTTAGGAGTATAATAATTATCTTTATGCTGGTTGGTCTCCCACCCTCTGCGGGTTATCAGCACAAATTATGTCCCCATATGATAAAATCCACCATCCCCCCTGATTTTTTTTTACAACTTGAGTACTGGTTATCAGGGTCGGCGTCATGGGGGGTCATTCGCGGGCCATGCCCCCCCAAATGAGTCACTGTGCCCCCCCAACGAGCCTTATTGTCAATTTGCCGTTTTAAAAAAAAAATTCATATAAGTTAAAACATTTCCACCAAACGTTTTTTGTGTGAAATACATCAGAAATAAAGAATACACATTTGTATTATTTATTTATTCTTTATATGAAACACAGCCTGAGGTGTGCTCACTGCTGCTCTCTGATTGGTGTGTTGCTTGACCAATGACCCCGACTTTTGTTTTGTTATCATTACGTGGCTGTGTGTTTAGATGAAAGCCCAGTGGCGATCTGTCCATCTGTTATACTGATTATACAGTAAAGCCATCGAAAATAATATGATTTACAGTACAGTACAAGTACATGGGTCTCTGTGTTTCATTCAAGCTCGGCTCTCTGTGTGTGGCACGAGCGCATTTTGTCAGTGCGCGAGCGGTAACGTGGAATATTGTTGTTAGCATCTGGTTAGCTAGCTATGCTAACGGATATGAAGAGCTGTTTCTACACCAAGGTGGAGGAGAGTCCTCTCCTGTCAGACTGAGAGGATCTTATAACGTCAGCTCAGTGGGGTAAGGACTCTCAGTGTTTAGATAGTTCACTTTAGTGTAAGTTATCTCAGTGGGTCTCAAACGGTTTGGTCACCATTTATGTAAACAAGTATTTGCGAGGAATAGGCTACCTTTATATGATCATTATAGTTATTAAAGAATAAGAGAATAAATGAAAAACGGGTATGAAATACTATAGGACAATAACACAAGAATACCATTTAAAAGGGGAGTGATTAGTAAAATATCCATAAAGAAAAAGTAAATCTGTTTACAGTTGTGTTTCATATGGATGTTGAGAGATGTATCCATAGATCTCTTCATTTTGCTCTCAAAGTGCACCAGATTGATGCTTTTATCTTCAATATTTTAAAAATAATCTTCCCGGGGGAGCATGCCCCCAGACCCTCCTAGAGGAGGTTAGGTCCACCCCCCACCTAAAACATGTTCACATGGATAGGATACTAAATACATTTGCACACTTTTCATATGGTGGCCTATGTCCATATGTTTCTGTTTTGGTGATCGTGCCACAACCGTGCATGTATGTGGTGTTTGTGTGTTGGTTGTTGACGGCAGTGTGTGCCCCCCCTTGGTAAATGATTTCCCCCCCATTTGATTTGTTCTAGAGCCGACCCTGCTGGTTATATTACACCACTGCTCACAACAAATACATTGAGGACACTCAGTAAATAAAGCTCATACATAATCAGAATAATATCCTGTCCTACAAAATCTTGCGCGGTAGATGGCAGTATGCACCTAAAAGTTGGTATTGCAATTCACCAAAAAAAGCCTCAGAGAAGAAGAGTGGTAGTTGTGGTATCTGTAGTCAAAACGAAAAAGAAGAAGAAGATAAACATGGCGTCCGTCAGCAGTGATGAGTGGAGAGCTATTTGTGACAAATTCACCAACGCCCAGAATTTAACCGTTGTAGAATCACTTAATGACCCAGACAATGACCCGTTCCGCTCCAAATACAAGGCCAGGGAGCTCCTCAGGGAGATATACTGCTCGCTGAAGAGTTTTGAGGCCGGGGAAGGTGAGGAGGAGAGCGGCGGAGAGACCGGAGAGACCGGAGAGAGCGGCGAGCAGCTGCCGGTGGAGGCTCCGGTAGACGGGCAGACTGAGGAGGCGTTCAGTCAGGGCTTCTGCGGAGACTCTCCAGCCGGGCTGCGGGCCGCTAAACTCGGGGCGGTGGAGTACTACCTGGGCGTCAACCATGTGGACACAGAGGAGCTGTCCGCTGGGCAGGAGCATCTGATGAACAGCATGAAGCTGCTGGGGAGATGCAGGGTATCATCGGAGAATGTGTCACTGTTTATCCATGCCAGGGTAACGTTAACGATTACTTTCTTAACAGTAATGTTGACAAAAATGGTGCAGTGTGACCACACATCACAGACTGACTGATTTATGTTGCTAAATCCCAATATAATTGACAATGTCATCATAAACAATGCCATTTGTAGGCCTGTGGGACAGCAGTTTGCACCACCATTCCCTTTTTACACACTTTAATAAAAAGTAAACACTACCAAATCTTCCTTATACTACTGGAATTACTTGCACATTTCTCATACAATTTAGCACATTTCTGCACTGTAGTTCCACTTTAAAACGTTTATTGTGCAGTAAGTGGTGATATTTTGTATTGTTGTCCTTTGTTGTTTATTTATGTTTCTTTTATTTAATAATGTTTTATAATTTTCTTTTTAAATATCTGTTCCTATTTTTCCATTTCTAATTGTATGCATGCACAATTTTATATCAAGGCAAATTCCCTTTATGTGAAATCCTACTTGGAAATAAACTAAATCTCGATTCCGTCAATTGAGTAAATATCTATTCTAATGTAGTTGGAGATCAGATGAGGCTTATTACTAACCCATGTTTTGTCTGTTTGTGTAACAGAACCAGTTGGGCATCCTGTGGGCCGGCCGCGATGAGACGGAGACCGCTCAGGGATTTCTTGAAACGGCTGAATCTATCTACCAACGTTATATGAAAGAGGTAAGGTTGGTGTGGTTTATGGAAAATCTAGAGAAAATAAATATCATAGGCATACATAATAGTGTACATAATTATTGTATTTTTCGTTAAGTAAGAAAATGTGTTTTTTGCTTTGGACCTTGTATGTTTCTTTGACCCCAGATTTTTTTTCATGGTGCTACATTATGACTTAAATGTGTTCCTAACCTCAAATGAGAATAACATGTGTACACAACTAGGTAGCAAAATGGGATTGTGGCCTAGTTGTTGGGTGTTAAAAAACACAACATCAAACCACAAAAGTGATAGCCGAGAATTTGATTATTGCAACTGCAGGAGCCATCGTTTTAAAACAAATGTTTTCTAGGATGGAAGTCCACCCACTGACATGGCAGATTACTTCAGTACTGAAGAGAACCAGTTGACACATCAGGAAAGGACCAAGAGGTAATTTGTCACCTTTAATATCCCCATACAAAAGCTGTATGTACATTTACAGAGTGTTTGCATGATGTGTGGTCATTGATGAACACTGGTTTTGTTTCTTTCTCTGTTATGCTCTGCCTTCCCATTATATCTTTCTCCTTTTCACTCTTTCTCCAACTTCCCTTTTCCAGGTTTGAGTTGGCCTACACCCATACCATGTACTACCTTGCACAAGTCTATAAAAACCTTGGTGAGTTTGATGTTGTTTGAGTCAAATACAACAGTATACATGTATTGGTTTATGAAAAAGTCATACTTAATCATTTATGTAATATACATTCAATAATATAAAACATATATATTGAACTTAAGAGTCTCTAATTGATGTAATCTAATGAGTAATGTTTTGCTTTAAGGAATGTCTGAAGACTGCTTCTGATCTGATTCAGAGTACATATTTATCTATGTAATCATAATGAAGCATAGCGTTATTCTGTTTAGCTCCTGGTTTAGTGGTTGATGGTAATGAAGTGTTTTATCTCCCAGGTGAAACTGAGCGTGCTGCCATCTACTGCCACAGCACCCTGCAGAGACAGTTAAAGTTAAATCAGTTCAGTCCTATGGAGTGGGCTCTGAACGCTGCCACACTATCGCAGTATTACATCACTAAGGTAAGGCACGGGGGGATATTAATTGATTGAAAATTATTGATTTAAAACCTCTGAAACATTTAAAAGGATTTTACATCAATTTGAGACAATAGTTTGCTCATGTCAGTACGTGCTGGTTATTACCAATATAGACAACATAACTATCATTTCTTAATACATGATTTCATCAAATTATTATTACATTGAAAGACGATTCATTATTATATTCAATTATCGCCATACCCTAATTTGAGTTTGTACTCATCCAAAATGGTTTAATCTGTCTAATCTATCTGTTTTACCTTGCTTTTACAAAGTCTTGTTGTCTTTCACATGAAATAATTTTGATTACAATGTAATACAAGTTTGGTTGTAGTAGGCATGCATGTTTGTAATATCTAATTCATTTCAGTATTGAAAGGTGTGTGTGTGTGTGTGTTTTTTAGGGCCGATACATGGAAGGCAGACATTGTCTCTCAGCGGCAACTGTCATATCGGGTTTAGCAGGAGAAGTTCCTTCTGAGGCCGCAGCACAGGAGAGTAAGCATCTAAATCTTGCATTAATTAACATATCAAAGCAAACGTACATATTTCCCTGTTTCTATTGTCATTTTTAACTGCAATTAGGAAGGCAGGAGCAAACACAGCTGTGTAGCAAAGCTTTGTGCAAGTATCTTACCTCCCTTCCTCTGTCTGACTCCTTCCACCTCAGTCACTCTCACTTCATCCAGATATATCTATCATTCCTGCTGGCATATCCTAACATGTTTGTGTATCTTGTGTCTGACCCAGGTGAGACAGAGAGCGAGCGCAGGGAGCAGCTCAGGCAGAAGAGAGCAGAGATTGCGAGATGTTGGATAAAATACTGTCTCAACATTCTGCAAGACTCTAAGAAGCTGCTAGAGGTAGTGTGTGTGTGTGTGTGTGTGTGTGTGTGTGTGTGTGTGTGTGTGTGTGTGTGTGTGTGTGTGTGTGTGTGTGTGTGTGTGTGTGTGTGTGTGTGTGTGTGTGTGTGTGTGTGTGTGTGTGTGTGTGTGTGTGTGTGTGTGTGTGTGTGTGTGTGTGTGTGTGTGTGTGTGTGTGTGTGTGTGTGTGGTGTGTGTGTGTGTGTGTGTGTGTGTGTGTGTGTGTGTGTGTGTGTGGTGTGTGTGTGTGTGTGTGTGTGTGTGTGTGTGTGTGTGTGTGTGTGTGTGTGTGTGTGTGTGTGTGTGGTGTCGTCATTTTTCTTCACTGTCAATTTGACATGGATAATATGTCACTCAGTAAAAACCTCCGAACAACGAAGGAGTCCTAACCTTGTTGTGATTCCACACTACCTTACAAAACTACCAAACTCTGCCTTTGTTATTGTGTTGATTGAGAGACCCCTAGTGACAGAAAATAGGATAATCATAATATTAATAATATTGGGAGGGATGAAACCCTCTTTAATGGTCAGTGCCACACATGCAGAGTACACAGCACACAGTGAAATGTGTTCTCTGCATTTAACCAGTGACGTGCGGTGAGGTTCATGGCTGGTGAGGCACTGACTCTTTCAGAGTCAGATTTACAAATATTATATTCTGACCTTAATCGAAATATTCTGTTATTTTCAAAAGCTTTTTTGGTCTGATGTTTCGATTCATTTTAAACAGACCGTTCAACAAAAGGATACCCACAATCTAAATATTGGATTGTTCTTTCTTAGTAAGATCCAATTTTCATTACCAATGTGGTCTTACCTTGACTTGAAGATGAAGTCCATGCTATCCTTCTGGACAACAATCTCTATTACTTTTTTTTTAAAGTCCTCCTTATCTTCCTCTGGTTTCAAAAGTCTAGTTTGTTGTTTGCGTCTGGTCTACCGTCTCTGCGTAGAATAACAGTAGCAACAAGGACCTGTGGGCTCACGTGCGCCCCTTCAGTGCGGCAGAGGTTATGGCTGCCTCCCCTGGTGCTTTTTTCATTGCCGTTGTACGGCGAGCCTAAATATCATATACGTGAAATAAGTTATTTAGAGACTATGGATGGCGAGGATAAATGTAATAAAGGTATCTACAAACATTACATTGGTGACCTACAGTGAGATGGTAACAGGCATGCGCTTAGTGCCCGCTTTCCAGACAGTTTCTGTGAGGTGATGCATTTTGAGGTGAGGCAGAGCTCATCTGTGCCTCACCTTACCACACAGTAACGGCCCGTCTACACTACAGGCGTCAAAAAATGCTTTCAACCCCCATTCATTTGAATGGGGTGACGTAGGATATTTTCAAACTTCGCCGAACTGCATTGTGGGTAGCATGGCAAGGCGTTGCAAGCATCGCGAGCGTCTATCGGCGTCAAAAGTTGAACAATGTTCAACTTTTGAGGCTCGATGCTTGCTCGAAGCTGGCGTCAGCCAATCAAATCCCGTTTTTGCAATTCCCGCCAGTACAAGCGCTAGCCAATCAAACCGCGTGCAAGCTGGGAGAGCCAGACCGCAGTTCATTTCCTCATATTCCAAACGAGAAATTACGGTAGTAAATCACCCGGTTCTTTCCGACCAGAACTATTTACCGGGATACAAACCGGAGGAACCAGGCATGGAGGGAGGTGGCAGAGACAGTGGGTGAAACTGGTAGGTTTTCGCCTGTTTGGGGATTTAACATTGCTATTGCTTTGTATGTCGGGGGCAGGAGATTCATGTGATTGGTTGTTGGTCGCGTTGCTCGCAAAAAATCGGCAAGCTTCAGACACGCCCAGCTTCAAGATTTTTTGATGCCTGTAGTGTAGACGGGCCGTAACTGGCTTGAGCGCGCTCCCAAAATAAGTGCCCGCGCTAAATTAGTGCCCGAGCTCCAGCAAGTTACTGTGGGCTTACGTGAGGCAGAGCTCGTCCCTGCCTCACTTCTCATCGCTACCCATAGTTGTAGCGGAGCTCGGCAAATTTGCTGATTTTGACTATAAAAAGCGATTGGAATCAAAAATAAATCACATTTACAACACAGATCAGTGGAGACATTTTATTATTATTACTATTTAGTTTTTCTTTAGTTGTTTTTCCGTTACATTGTAGTATGGCCAGTCTATGAGTATAGGCGCATTCACACTGCGGTACTTTTCCCACAAAGGTTCATGTGAACTTAGTTCATGTGAACTCTTTAGTTCGCATGAACTAAGTACAGATTGCGTTCACACTGGAAAAAGTCCCTGGGGGTGGTTTAGGCAAATGAAGCCGCTGACGTCACTTGTTCTTCTTCTGCTTTGGGTTTACTGGCAGGCCGCAAACCACTTCACGGCGTAAACTGCCGCCCAAAGTCCCCGGCCGGAAGTCCCCGGAGTTGGGGACTGGCTTCAGTAGAAGCTGCTGGGACTCCCAGCAGCTTCTACTGAAGCCTTCCGAGTAAATCGCCAGAACGCCGACACCTCCTCATCTCCACCGCTCCCATGTTTTATTTTGTGTTGCCATAAATTAGTCTCTCTGCGTTTCTGCGCTGGGCTAATGCTAATGCTAATAATGCTAATGCGAGGATAATAAAATGGCGGCTTCACAAAACTTTTTGGGAGTTTTACGGGGCGTGGTTTGCAATCCGCCCAGCCAATCAGACATATAGCTCTTTTCTCACAAGAGAGCCGCACGAAAGTCCCTGCTTTTCGTGGGGGTAAAAAGGTTCACATGAACTAATTTTAGTACCGGCTCTTTTTGGTGTGAACGCGATAAAAGAGTTCACATGAACTAAGTTCACATGAACCTTTGTGGGAAAAGTACCGCAGTGTGAATGCGCCTTATGACAGGTGAGGCTCTGCCTCCCCTGACTGCACGTCGCTGCATTTAACCCATCCTAGTAACAGGAGTCTAGTACTAGGAGCAGTATAAGCAGCTAGTGTACAGCCCCCGGGGAGCAATGGGAGGGGTGGGGGGTTGTCCGGCTCAAGGGCACCACGGCAGGGCAGGAGGTGAACTGGGACCTCTCCAAGTAGCAGTCCACACTCCATATTTAGGTCTGGTCGGGGACTTGAACCCTACGGCTCCCAGTCCAAGCCCCTTCTGACTGAGCCACTGCCGGACAGATATTGTATCGGATATTGTTGGTTTGAAGAAAATCACTTGTAAGGGCTTTTACTTAAAGTTGATGGTTGTTGTTTTGAATTTCTTTGTGAACAGGACAGCATTGGGGAGCTGGATACAGATCGTCAAGAAGAAATGAAGAGAGGGAGGAGACTTGAGGAGGAAGAGGAGGAAAAGGAAAGGAAGAGTGCTATGCTGTTTGGCTCTGAAGACACCTTTGACTCCATTGCTAGCCTGGAGGAGAAGGTTAATACACTTTCTAATGCTACTGCTGGTTCTGCTTGTACAGTCATTATAATAATTATTGGTGTTACAGACCATGTTGTACTACAATAGGAAACACATTTAAAAATTACTGTCACCAGAGGGCGCCGTTCTGCAAATAAATACGAGACCCATTTTAGGAGCTCAAACTCTGCTTTCTGTTTTCCAGGTGCGCTGTTTGTTGCCAATGGACTTCACCGAGGCCAGAGCCATATTTCTGGTGGGACAACATTATGTCACACAGGTTTGTAAAGCCCACTGACACACTCACACTGAAACTGGGTTGGACAGACTAATAAAACATGTAGACAATCTTACACCAGTAACCAGACACACCAACAGCAGTGGAGTTATTGAAGTATCCATACTAGCTCATAAGATTAAACATTTTAACTAACCAATGCTTTTGAGTTATGTCATGTATTTTTACTTCCCAGCACAGTTTGTAAAGCTTATTGAGATAGTTTCGAAGAAGAAGAAAGACACTAGTTCCTACATGAAACTGATAAATACAAAAATAAAAATAGAATAAGGTCTGTCAATTATTTTGATTAGCCTGCTCAGGATTTATGGAAAGAGAAGTTTCTTTTGAGTTTCTCAAATTAAATATTTGTTGCCCTAGTTCCGTTAAACGCAGATGCAGACATTTTTTACAGCCAATATCTCAAACACTCGGCAACACACATCAAAACAAATAGCCAATCTATTTTGGCTTGAAATGTCTCTTTAAGTTAGTATTAATGGTAGAGTTGATGCTGAAACAACTGTGTATTAAAAGCTAGTGAGTAAAATCATGTGTGGAGCACAAAACCAAGATTTCATTAAGAAAAAACATGGCTCTTGGGTTTATCCCACAGTGTATAGTTACAACTGCTAAACTTCGTAATCTCTCCGTCTTTTCACTTAATCTTGCAGGCCAAAGAGTACTTTCAGATGGACGGCTATGTGACGGACCACATAGAGATCCTGCAGGATCACAGTTCTCTGTTCCGATCCCTGGCTTTCTATGAAGAGGATCTGGACCGGCGCTGCAAAATGCACAAACGAAGAGTTGATATGATGGAGCCTGTCTGCATGGGTAGTTGCATTTTCCATTTGTCTCGAGTATTTTCAATGGAAAAAGATGACACAATATGTTGTTGTCAATGTTCAACGCAAATGTCCATGTAAAGTGACATGATTGATTGAGTCTGACTCTCTGTTTCACTACAGAATTGAACTCCAAGTACTACCTAATGATCCGCAGACAGATGATGTTTGAGTTGGCTGAGACCTACAATGAAATGATGGACCTGAAGCTGACGCTAGCCAACAGACAAGATGAAACAGAATCTCTTGACAGCCACACCATTAAGAAATTTAACAATCTCTGCTCTGCTTCTGCCAAGTGAGTGATTGTGTTTGTAGGAGCTGTGTGTTAGTGCATCTGAATATATTGGAAATCCTCCCTTCTCCTCTCCAGGTACTTCCAGATGTTCCTAGACTCTCTGTGTTCTCCGGAGGGGAAGCAGCCGGAGCATCTGGAGGAAGAGGTGCTCCGACCGGCTCTGGTCGCTCGCTTCAGGGTGGCCCGACTCTACAGCCGGCTGATTTGCACCTCACCCCCCGGTCAGGTGGAAAACCTTGACAAGTCGCTGGAACACTACAAGTAAGAATATAGTGTATTTGTAAATATATGGCAATACATAGGGCTGGGTTTAAGGAAAGAAAAACGATGTTCCAGTTCAATTCAATCTTCATTATCATGAACCAAAATATGGATTTAAAACATCAGAAATTAGACTATTAATATATGTACGAATAAAGTTTCTACTGGGCAAACCTCTGGAATTTTACTTTTCTAAATGTCGGCGGCTGCTCCACAGAAGTCACCACCAGGCAGCGCTGCCAAATACATTTTAAGTGGTGTCAAAAATTTCTCTGTGGTATGTTTCATATCAAAGCAATATTTGTATTCTAACTGGAGTCGGATCCAATCATAAATTAATCCATTGAGGATATCAGTGGGGAAACCCAGCCCTAGTCATACACCCAAACACTTTCTGGATTGCATAATTGAAAATGTAGGAGAAGTGTGCGTAGGTTGACATGATGTGGAGGCGTTAGGAAATCAGAAAGACGCATTAAGAGGAATTGTGTGCCCGACGTGTCTTGGACGTAATATGGTCTTTGTTTACATTAGCAAGCATCGCTAACACTCAGAGATGTCCTGTACTGGAGAGAGTATGTGTAAAAAAGTAAGAAATAAAAAAAGGAACTCACCTTGTGGTAAACCGGCAAGAGAAAAAGCATTTGAGCTCCATACTGTTACAGAAATAATCCTTGATGTGTTTGGAACATGAGATGGCATTTAATCACGGCAGCATTTTGCTTCATCTCCGGTAGAATTAAGGGCAGGCATTAGCTCCCCCTCCTCCTTTTTTTTGTTTCAAGCTAAGGCCCCCGAACCTGCAGTTCTCTAACAGGGCTGGAATAGAGGGATATGAAGGATGTCTAAAATGCATGATCTGTTTGGTATTTTGAGCAAAATAGACATGTTTTTTATATATTTTCATATATCTGAGACCCATAATATATGCCTAAAAATAGCATAATAGGAGACCTTCTAATGTGTTGACCATCACTTGTATCTACACCTGTCTAGATATGTGGTGGATTACTGTGACTCCCACCCAGAGGCCGTGGCCACAGTGGAGACGGAGCTGGAGCTGAGTCGGGAGATGGTCGGCCTGCTCCCTCTCAAAATCAACCGCATCAAAGCAAAGATCCCCGCCAACAACTGAAGGACGCCCCCTCTCTCACCTGACTGACTAGTTGTCTACTACAAGTGTAACATCTCCCAAAAAATGAGTCGGTCGATCTAAATCAGGGGTGGGGAACCTTTTTCCTCTCAAGGGCCATTTCAATGTTTTCAACATCCTCCGAGGGCCGTACAAATTATTGACCTCTGCTTAAAAAAACTAAAATCACAGCCCATTAATTTCACCTTTCTTTCATGCTGTGCAAAGAAAAAGCAACCTTTTAATCCAGATATCTTGCCATGACTCGCGTATGCATGCACGTGCTCGGTTGTGGCATGACCTCCAAAACAGAAAGATATGGACACAAGATGTGTGCAAATGTATTTTGTTTCCTATCCATGTGAACATGATTTAAGTGGGGGGGGACCTAACCTCCTCTAGGGGGGTCCGGGGGCATGCTCCCCCGGGAAGATTTATTTTGCGGTCTAGATTTCTTTAATTTTTTTCTTTTTTGCGTGTGTTTATAAATTACCTCGAGGACCACACCAAATGGTCTCGCGGGCCGTATACGGCCCGGGGGCCGGAGGTTCCCCACCCCTGATCTAAATGTACCACCTTTTACAATCAGTGGACACTCCCTACAATTAGAGAAACTGGACAGTGAAGGACTTTCTTGCTTATTTAACCACATCTTTCTTGGCAGTGTTCATGCTGCATTTACAAGACCTTTGAACCCATCACACACTGTAAAAATGTGCTCTCCTCTGTGAAGTAAAATTTGATTTGAACTCAAATACCACAGTTAATATACTCTCTTCAAAATTATCATGTAAATGTCTTCCTCACTAATTGAGATCAGTTGATAATAATCAACTAATAATAATTGTTTGGTTTCATTTTATTTTACTATCGTAAGTGACCGAGTTCTGATTCATGTTGTTCTCTATGTTAAACATGTTTTGTTTTTTTATCACTCATTGTCAAGCACTTTAGCACACTGAACTTTTGTTTCTTCAGCTACTATCTGATGTTAAAACAAATGTTAAAGCCTACAGATAGTACATGGGTCAGTGTAACCATGGTAATAACAATAGGCAGCCATCAGTGCAGATGGGCTTAGACTACTGACAGGTTGTTGTTGTTGCGCCTTAAAACTGAGAAGCTTTTTCTGCAAACTGAGAAACAGTCATAAAGTGGGCTTATTCGTGTTGGTTTATGAGGTATTATAATCTGCATGATGCCGATCCCAGCTTTGACCAGGTGAACTCTAATATATACTCTTGTATATTTCTTTCCTGCCTGTGATGAATCACAATGTTATCTTGTTTGTTGTACAGCAGATAATGTATGTTATGGTGATAAACAAGTAAAGAACTTCACACCTATGACAAAATA